TACAACTCAAAGGTCCTTCAGGTCTTTGCTGGTCAAAAACAGCCAACTAATTATTTTTATGCCATTTTCTAGCACTTGGCCCATAAACTTATGTGCCTTAGCATGAGACGTGTATATCTAAATTCTTCCGAAATGCTTCTGAAATGCAATGAGAGATTCTGCATCTACCACCCTAACAGACAGTGATTTCCAGATTCCTACGACCTTCTAGATAAAAACAATTTCGCACACTTCCCCTTTAAAATGTTCAGCCCCTATCTCAAACCTATGCCCTGATCATTTTCACCTTGGTGGAGAGATCAAAGTTTCTTTCATCTTACCTATGCCCTTCAATTTAACACACATCTCAATCATGTCTTCCTCCCCACCCTTCAGTCTCTTCTGTTCTAAGGCAAACAACTCTATTCTACCTAATCTCTCTACCGAACTAAAATTTTTCAGCTCAAGCAACGTCCTGGTAAGTTTACTCTATTAAGTAGAAGTGTTCTTGAGGCTGCACTCATCGAGGCAAGTGGGAAATATTCCATCATGCTCTTGTCTTCAGCCTTGTAGATTAGATTTCAGAGATTCAGAAGCTATGTTACTTGCTGCAGGATTCAAAGCCTCTGACCAACTCTTGCAGCCACTGTCTTGCAATGTTTCATGCAGTTCAGTTTCTAGTTAATGGTAACCACCACATTATTGGTAGTGGAGGAAATCTTCGTCCTTATTTGTCCTGTTTAATTTGAGACCTGGACAGAGTTTAGATTAATCAGGTTAACTTATAGCAAAGTATTTTTTAAAAATCTATCTTAGAATGCTCAGAAAACCCAATACAGATTAGCATGGTCATGTCAAAAACTCAATGTAATGAAAAAAAAAAATCAAAGCTGGACTGCTGACTCCCCGTATCCTAGCAGCAGATATATGCCACAATTCACTGCTCAGCCAACGGACAATGACACAACCCCCAATATCAAAACCTCCATGGTTAATCAGAGATTCCTTGTTGCATTAATGTACAAGTAATTAAGACAAAGTCACAATGCATGAACTAAGAATCCACCAAGCATCAGTAACCTGGAAAGACTTGGAACTTAGCTTGTTGTCTGAGATTGCTGAGTTTGAACTGTCTTCACAAAAAATTGATGTCTAATACATTGAGCTCTTTCTAATTCATTCATGGGGATGAGAGTGACACTGGCTAGGCCAACATTTATTGCCCATTCCTAATGGACCTGAGGTAAAGAGTCAACTACATCAGCCAAACTGGGTAAGGTTGGCATTGCCTTCCCTGAAAAGATATTGGTGAACCAGATGGGTTTTTACGACAATCAAAAATGGCCACATTGTCACCATTAGACCAGCTGTTTATTCCAGAATTTTTACTGAATTCAAATTTCACCATCTGCCATGGTGAGTTTCGAACACAGACACCAAAACTTTGGTCTGAAGTTCTGCATTACCAGTTCACTGACATTACCACGATATATGAGTGTCACTGCAGGACTGATAATAATTGCCTACTCTTTTTTGCCGTAAGAGATTTCTATGGAACTAGAGTCAAACATATGACAGATCTAGTACAAATGAGCTAGAAATGACCTTTATTATATGCCATTGAACCAGTAGATAATGACAACTATCTAGTAGCTACATGATAACTTGCAGTGAAAGCTGCTTTCGTATTTGAGAACTTTGATTTAGGAGCTCCAAACAGTCAACACCCGGTGCTCCCTTGCCATCACACCAGCATCCACATACAAGGGATCATAACCCACCATTTCTGCCACCTCTGGCGGGATGCCATCATCAGTCATATACAACTCACTCCTTCCTGGTTAATATTTCACAGGGTTTGTCCCCTCTGGGAAACGCTAGTCCAATCACAACGCCTCCCGCATAATCGTAGAAGGTGCAACACCTGCCAGTTTACCTCCCCCTCTCCTCATTGTCCAAGAATTCAGATACACTTTCCTGGTGAACCAGTGATTTACCTGCAATCCACTCAATCTAGACTACTATATTCGCTGCTCACAATACGGTTTCCTCAACATTTGGGAGACAAATCCCAGACTGGGTAACCACCTTACTGAATACTTACATTCTGTCCGGAAAAATGATCCAGAGCTTCCAGTTGCCTCTGACTTTAACAGACTACTGTGCTCCCTGGCCAATAGTTTGTCTCAGGCCTGCTGCAGTACTCTAGCAAGGTCCAGCACAAGCTCAAAGAACAGTACCTTATTTTCTGCTTGGGGTCCTTACAACCTACAGGACTCAATACTGAGTTCAATAACTTTAAAGCCTCAACACATCTTCCATGAATTTCACCCACACCACACCTCAAGCTCTGTCATGACGCAGGTTGTTTTGAGCACTGTTCCACTTTTAACTACAATATGGTCCCCATTAATAGCTCTTCTTTCTCCCAACTTATCATTATTACCCCCTCCTTTGCCTGCCCAACAATCTCACCCTCTCTGCGCAGTACCTCCATCTATGACTTACTCCTTTAAACATCATCTTGTCTTCCTTTCTCCCTATTTCGCCAGCACGCATACTACTTTTCCAAGCTACCATCAGTTAAGAAGGGTCACTGAGCCCAAATAGTTAACATGGCTTTCTCTCCACAGACATTACCAGACTTGCTGAATTTCTCCAGCTGTTTCTGTTTATAAATCCAAATTACTTGTTCAATAGCTTGCGCATTGACACCGTTCTCCGTTTACAACAAATTTAAAAGTATGTTACAGATCAGCTGCAGCATGTTCAAACTGCGTTTTTTTTCCATGCACACACATCCCAATTTATAGTAGGTCTGTCAAATGCAATTGCATCAAGGTAAAATGTAATACTTGTTAAGTTTTCTTTTAAACCCAGATTCTCCAATTAAACGGCTTTCCTTTTACCATGGAAGTCAGCTTGCAATGCCTCAGTCGAAATGACAGGAGCAGCCAGCGCAGTGTTAAGACTGCATATTGGACATGACAAAGTGCTAGAGAAACTCAGGAGCTCGAGTAGCATTTCAGGAAAAGAAAAACTTGAACATAGGAGAATTGAATTGGACTCTGTGTAACCGTGTTCCATAAAGTCACATTAAACTCAAAATGTTAACTCTTTCTCTCTCTACATATACTACCAGAGCTGTTAAAATTCTCCAACACCTTGTCTCTATTTCAAATTTTTCTTATAGTATTTTGCTATTATGTTGAACATGACCAATGATTACAGTCAAAGCCCCATGCTTAATTTGCATTTTTATTGTCAAGGGGCAGAGTGGAGCTCTTTACTGTATGCTGTGAACTTGTGACACGGCACAAGTTCCGACTTGCATTATCTACTCCACAATTCACCCAAAAATAGGTAGTACAGCGGTGTGTGCCATAATCACCATGATTACAATGTGATTATATGTGCATGGTAACACAATTGCAAAATCAGCAGTCTCTCATTCAAGTCATGCAACACTGAAATGTTTGAGTTATGCTCTGTACCAGTTGCTAAATTTGAGAGATGCAGTGGGTAGTGAGCCTTCATCTAAATTAGACGTGTCGAATATTCAGAATTATTCTTTTTAAAATTTGAACTAATTCATTTTGTTCAGCTGGGTAAAATTCCATTGTGAATGTTAATGGGGTAAATCAAAAGCATATGATAATCTACACGCATTTCAAAATATTTAGGAAACGGTGCAAAATAAGTCATTTTTCAAATTTGGATTATTACCTTAAATTGAATTTTGTAATGATTACAAACAAAAACACAACTGGATTTGGTTTTGTCACTCTAATTTCTTTCAGCAAAGGTTTGCTCCACAAGGGAAAAAGCTTCACCATTATTCACAGCCTCCACATCTAAACTAAAACAATAATCATAGAATCCCTACTTTGTGGAAACAGACATTTCGGCCCAACAAGTCCACACTGACCCTCAAAGCATCCCACTCAGACCCATCCCCCTAATCTACACATCCCTAAACACTATGGGCAATTTAGCATGGCTAATCCATCTTGTCTGCACATCAGTGTGGGAGGAAACCCATGCAGACACGGGGAGAATATGCAAACTCTACACAGTCGCCCAAGGGTGGAATCGAACCCGGGTTCCTGGCGCTGTGAGGCAGTAGTGCTAACCACTGAGCCGCCCAGTAAGACAAAAATCTCCGAAATGCTGTGTTCAAACCAATGCCATTTAATGCCCAAGCACCTATTGATAATACTTCAAATTTTGTGTATTTCATGTATACACTTCATTAAACTAAATCAGCAGAACAGGAAACAGAAATACCACTACTCCACCTACAGTTATCCAATCAAGTAGCATATAACCATCTGTTTCTGCCTTACAAACTGCACGATCCATGATGCCGGTTCAACGGATTAATCTGTTCTATCCTTCTGTCACTGACTCCCTCGCACTGAACACAACTTCCAACATCAAGTTAACAAAAAGTGATGGAGAAGCCAGCATCTTTCATTTCTCTGGTCCTGAATTCATTCCAACTTTGAGAATTTATCTTTACATGTGAAGTTTTAAAAGTGGTTATTAGTCACTTAGTTAGGTCAATAAAATTGGAATTCCCTGATTTTCCGCAACTATGGAAAAAAAAAGTTTTCACTGTAAGAAGAAAATCTCGAGCTCTCAGTGTTTAAAAAGAACGAAATGAAATTACAAGTATCTTTGCTGGAGGCGTTCCCCGCACGAACGGAGCATCACCGGCCCCAACCTCCTCCTCAACACAAAGCAACTAAAAACTCTTGGACCTCAGCTCCACGAGATGGTGGCCTCCCGCAGGAGGAAATTCTGTAAAGAATGCAAGAGACGCTTAGTAAACCCAGAAGGAAGGGGATGGGGGTGGAAATCGGGATAAGTCTTGTTCCGTGTCCCTCTAACGCCTTACACCGCGCAATCATCGACCTTCCAAAAGCCGAAGAAGGCCTCAGCCGCCATTTGGGGCAGAGACGCCCGGTGAAGCCGGCTCAGTCTCTCCGGCTCGCGTCGTCGAGTCCTCGGACACTCACTTTCTTGTAGTTTTTGCCCAGCCACAACCTCAGGCCGTCAAACTGCGCCACGGTTTCCGACGACTCCAGGAACCTGATGTTCGGGCCTCCGTCTTTCTTGCGAGACAGTCCAACCGCCGCCGCCATCGCTCAGCTCTCGCGCTCACACACAAACAGAACAACAAGCCAACAAAACCAAACTTTATTGTTCCGGCCACGCGCCTGCGTCGTTCTGCTCTGTGCGCAGAATGGAGTCGGTGCGGTCGAATAGTTCCTAAAGTGTTAAAGGAAGACCAATTCACATTATAACAATGAAAAAGGGACTCTGGAGGCCATTCGTCCGTTAGTCGGCCTTTTGACCGAGCCTTGCCATGAAGATAATGCCCGAGTAGGGTTATGGCTGATCCTCTACCTCAGTTTCACTTCCCTGAAACACTGCCCCCAAAACAGAAATTGCTGGAGAAAACTCATCTCCTGTAAGTACACGAAGGGTAAAAGAGTAACTAGGGAAAGAATAGGGCCTCTTAAAGATCAACAAGGTCGTCTATGTGTGGATCCACAAGAGATGGGTGAGATCCCAAATGAATATTTCTTTTCAGTATTTACTGTCGAGAAAGACATGGATGCCTGGAAACTTGGGGAAATAAATAGAGGTCTTGAAGAGAGTCCACAATACAGAAGAGGAGGTGCTGGAAGTCTCAAAACAGGTCAAGGTAAATAAGTCCTTGGGAACTGATGAAGTGTATCCCAGGATTTTGTGGGAGGTCAGGGAGGAAATTACTGGATCCCTAGGGGAGATACTTGTATCATTGACAGTCACAGGTAAAGTGCCTGCATATTGCAAGATGGCTGATGTTGTGCCATTGTTTAAAAAAGGCTGCAGGGAAATACCTCGGAATGACAGATCAATGAGCCTAGTGTTTGTGGTGGGTAAGTTGTTAGAGGGGATTCTAAGAGACAGGATCTGCAGGCATTTGGAGAGACAAAGACTCATTTTGGGACAGTCAGCGTGGCTTTGTGCATGGGAAATTGTGTCTCATGACTTTGATTGAGTATTTTGAAGAGGGGATCAAGAAAGTAGATGAGGGCAATGTGGTAGACATTGTCTACAAGGACTTCAGCTTGGCCTCTGACAAGGTACTGCTCGGTAAGTTGTTGAGTAAGATGAAATCTCACAGGATCCAGGGAGAGCTAGCCAATTGGATACAAAATTCGCTTGACTGTAGAAGACAGAGGGTGGTGGTAGACACTTGTCTTTCAGACTGGAGGCATGTAACCAGCGGTGTACCACAGGGATCGGTGCTGGGTCCACTGTTATTCATCATATATATAAATGATTTGGAGGAGAATTCAGGAAGTATGATTAGAAAGTTTTTGGATGACACCAGAATTGATGGTATGGTGGACAGTGAAGAAAGTTATTTGGGAATACAGCGAGATCTTGATCAACTGAGCCAGTGGGCTGAGGAATGGCAGATCGGGTTTAATTTAGATAAATTCGAGGTGTTGCATTGTGGTAGGTCAAACCATGGAAGGATTTACACAATCAATGGTCGGACCCTGGGGAGTGTCACAGATCAAAGATATCTAGAGGTACAGGGTCATAGCTCCTTAAAAAACAGGGTGGCAAAGAAGGCTTTTGGCATGTTTGCTTTTATCGGTCAGATGTCTAATTGCAGCTTTACAAGACCTCAGTGAGACCACATTTGGAGTACTGCCTGCAGTCCTGGTCACCCTACTGTAGAAAGGATATTGAACTAAAAAGAGTGCAGAAATGATTTACTAGGATGCTACCTGGACTGGAAGGTTTGATTTATAAGGAGAGGTTATATGCTGGGACTTCTGTCCCTGGAGCATAGGAGACTGAGGGGTGACTTTATAGAAATATATAAATCCATGAAACTCATAGAAAAGGTAGAATAGCCACAGCTTTTCCCTATTGGAATGGGAGTCTAAAACTAGAGGGTATAGGTTATAAAGTGAGCGGGGGGAGATACAAAAGGGTCCAGAGGGGTAATTTTTTCACACAAAGGGTAGTGAATACCTGGAACAGACTGCCAGAGGTAATGGTGGAGGCGAATAAATTTTGGCCATTTAAGAAACATTTGGACAGGTGCATAGATGGGATAAGTATGGAGAGATATGGACCAAACACAGGTAACCATTAACAACTAACACAATTAACAACTAATTGTGAAAACTGGATGGCATAAATAAGTTGGGCCAAAGGACCTGTTTCCATGCTGTAAACCTCCGTGACTCAATAAGTCTGGCAGCATCCGTGGAGAGAAAACAAAGTTAATAGTTCGAGTCCAGTGATCCTTCTTCAGAAAGGTTTCCACTTTCTGCATAATAATGTTGCTTTCTTCAGAATCCAAAAATCTATAGAGATCAGCCAACAATAACGGAACATCAACCAGTTTCTCATTAGAATATTTTTGTGAAAGGAGACAACAACTGTACACAAACAATTTGTTGTAATGAAAGTATGTTTTCCTTATTTTTCTGTCTTTTGATTATTGACATAAATGGGAATGAGATTGTTGTAAAACAAAGGATTATGGAAGGAATTGCTGCATTTTTAAAAAGCAAGTTGCTAAAATTCATTCTAACTCATGCTCATATTGTTCAAGAAGTAGGGCAGGCTGTTCGGCAGGATGGTATCAGGACTGTGTACAAATTGAGATTTGGGACTGGCAATTGGTGACTTTACATCCTTACACTCTGCTTCCTGTAAGGGCTTAATTCCATTCTCCAAGTTTCTTCATGTCCGTCCCTTGCACAGGAGGGGCTCAGATATGGCCACCTGTTTCCTCAACCAAGAATCCCCACTACCATGGTTGAGAGGTCCCTTAGACATGTCCAATCTATTTCTACACATCTGCCCTCATGCCTTGCCCCCGAACCCCCCACCCCAAGACAGCAACAACAATACAGTCCCCATTGTTCTCACTTTCTATCACAGTAGCCTATGCATTCAAGCCGCCATTTCTGCAACCTCCAGTGGGATGCCACCACTAGATACATATTGCCATTCCCTCCCTTGTCAGCATTCAGAGGGACTATTCCGTCTGTGACATCCGAATCCACTTCTCCTTCATTCACAACACGTCTCCACATCTGCATGGCACCTTTCCATATAATCACAGAAGGTGCAAAACCTGCCTGTTTACCTTCTCCCTCCTCACCATCCAAGGCCCCAGACACAAATACTAGGTGAAGCAGTGGTTTAATGGTCAATCTAGTCAACTGTGTTTACTGCTCACAATTTGGTGTCCTCTACGTTCGGGGAGACAAAACACAGACTGGATGACCACTGTACGGAATACCTATATTCTATAATTAGAAATGACCGAAACTGAGGATACTCCCCTGCAGAGATGTCCTCGAGCTGATATGACTGACCTCAAACAACCACAACCATCTTCCTTTCTGACTCATCTCAAAGAGAGTTTTCCCTGACTCCCATTGACTCCAGTTTTGCTAGTGCTCCTTAATGCTGCACTTGATCAAATGTGGCCTGAATGTCATGGGCGGTAGTTCTTACTTCACCTCTGAATTCTGCTCTTTTATCTTTGTTTGAATTAAAACAGTGATAAGGTCATGAATTGAGTGGCCCTGGCAGACTCAAATTATGAGTCAGTCAGGAAAATGATACTTGCCAGAGCCAACACAGAGAGAGTTGAAAAATTGGCAAAGCATCTGAGATTGGAGGAAATACAGGAGGGACGAAGTCCACAGTGTGCTGAGTCACTTGAGTTAGCAAGAATTCAATTAAGGTTAAAGTATCTTGAAAATGAAAAGGAAATGTGAAAGCAGAAGCTGAAGATGAAAAAAAAACTTAGTTTGGGAGAGGGTAAAGGGAAAAAGACAGCATTTAAGAAGCTGACTAGCGATATAGAATAGAGAAAGACTAAAGAAAGAGTAAAAAAAAGGACAAAGACTGAAAATACCAGCTGGCATTGAAGGTAGTTTAAAAGAGATTCACTAAGCTGAATTGGGTGAATTATCAAGAACAGTTAAACAGGTTAGGACTTCATTCACTAGAGTTTTGAAGAATGGGGGAATGATCTTATTGCAGTATGCCAAGTTCTGACGGGGCTTGAAAGGGTTTGTGTTGAGAGCATTTCTCCAAGAATGTGGCATTCTCGAACTAAGGTCCATTTTTTAAGAATAAGATGATGCTTATTTAAAACAGAGATGCAAAGGAATTTCTTCTCCAAGGACATGAATGTTTAGAATTCTCCAGCCCAGAGAGTTGTGGAGGCTAGATCATTGAAAGTATTTGAAGTGAAGGGAAGTAGATTTTTGAAACATCGGGGAATTGAGGGCAATGATGAGCTGACACAAAACAGAAGTTGAGGCAAATCAGCCATGATCTTATTGAAAGGCAGGGCAGACTTGAGGAACTAAATGGTCAACTTCTGCTCATATTTCTTATGTTCTTACCATCAATGAATCCCCCATTAGGAACTGAACTGCTGTAGCCACATAAATGCTATGGCTACAAGAACAGGTCAGAATCTAGGAATCCTGCAATGGATAACTCTCTCCTGACTCTCTAAAACTTGACAAATCGCATGTCAGGAGTATGATGGAATACTCTCCACTTGCATGGATGAGGACATCTCCAAAAACACTTAAGATGTGTGACATCATCCAGGACAAAACAGTCTGCTTGAAAAGTACCACACCCATAAATATTCACTCCATCATTGATGCTCAGTCACTGCAGTGTGTACCATCCACAATATGCCCTGCAGAAATTCACCAAGGTTCCTTAGACAGAGTCTTCCAAACCCATAATCACTACCATCGAGAAGAACAAAGACAGCAGATACATAGCAAAGTTCCATGCCAAGTCAGTCACATGAGTTAGGACAATATTTTTTAATTCACTTGTGGGACATTGGCATCGCTAGCTGGCCAGCATATGTAATCCGTCAGTAGTTGCCCCTGAGAACGTGGTGGGGAGCTGCCTTCTTGGACAATTGCAGTCTCTGTGCTGTAGGTAGTGTGACAGTGTAAACTTCAGAACTTTAATAAACTGTTCATAGATTGAAAGAAGGAGCAATTACTCTGTCTGGAATAAACGATTAAGGGACAAGGACTAGCTTATACAGGAATTAAAAACAATTAGCCACGTCAGTGAGAAGAAGGACTCAAAGCTACATGAACTGAACTGTTTTA